GACGCGACGGCTTCTTCTCCCGAAAGTTCCAAGTGACGGATCTGTTGTTGTGTGTGTGTCTCGCACCCATCTTCGTCTCCATCTCCCGACCTCGGATCGACATCTTTCCATCAACGGAAGTCGACCGCATCGTCCCGGAGTCCTCGAGACGTGATGGAATGGTTCATTCGCGAACAAGGGACACTCCTTCAAAATGGAACTATCTTGGAAAGGAGAGGAAGACCCAGTGGCCGCAACCGCCGCAGAACTTCCAAGATCGCGGACATCTTGTAAGCCTCTTTCCTGTTTAATAAACGGTTGTGTTGTTTGTAAACGAAGCATCTATCTCTGACTCAACTGCTTCCACATGTCGTTGATTGTTACCGCTCGGCAATCCAAACGGCAAGGGAGACGATGACGATACATATCACATATTATCGTTCGTCGAGAGATTTTTTTATTTCTCCCCCCCCTCGGCGCCCACATATGATTAGTTTTAATTTTATCCATTACAATAAACTATAGTGACGTCACCATTATGAGGAGATGGCCGGATGTTGGCGGCATCAGGCTACCTCCCTTAAAGACTCGGGAATGAATCCTGACGGGCCGGAAACTCTCGGTGGTGATTCGTCCCGGATAAGTCGGGCCCAACGAGCTAGAATATACAGGTAACCCCCGTATAACACGGCACTTCTATAGCACGAATTCACTCTAACACGGTTCGAGAGTTGGGTAAAACCCTTGTACAACATGAAATGTAATAAAGGGTGCGTTCTTTTATACCTCCGCGTAACTCCGCAAGAGCATTTTAATTATTTTCGTGGCTACTTTGAATGCTCTTTCAACAAATAATCCATTTAATAATTAAATTTTACAATTGGGACTCTTCTTTTACCTCAAAAAGCTCATTTTAGAATTATTGATTCCTCCATCACGATACTATCGATAGTGCAAACGCCGCCATCTTCCTTTCACCGTCGTTCCTAAATGCCTACAAACAGCAGCGCACTCACGTTGCAGTGCGACCGCTATTAAGGAACGCATTCAAAATCTGTTACCAGTTGATGATGCTCATGCTGAGATCATCATATAGGATGAATAACCCTCTGGTAAAATGCTTACTTAAATAATAAATAAGTATTTTACCTATGAAAAATATGAATAATAAATCCAATCTAAATAAGGATTTAACAGCATGTTTTTTTAATTTTTGGAACCTAACTCCCCTTTTCGCACTAGTTCTTTGTTTCATATAACACGGCAATTTTTTGGAACGTAACTCCCGTGTTATACGGGAGTTACGTTCCAAATTATATCTGGTTCTCCTACGTTAACATGCTATACTTTTGGTACGTGAGCGCTTATTAACTTCTAACATTAATTTAAATCTTGATATAGTAGAATCCCGTTTTAACGGATCATACGGCCGAGAATCCTTTATATCGCGAACAACGGATTTCTCGAACACCCGGAATAATATTCGTTATTCGAAAAAATTCGTGTTTTAATCCCCTACATGTAAGAAATACCTGTACCTGAAATTATTGAGTCTCTTGAGATTTCTATCCTTTACAGAAACGCATATATTGTCATAAGTGTGTTTGATAAAACTGATGGAAACTGTAGTAAATACTGTAAGCGCAAAAAGAGACAAAGTACTCGTTAGCACTTTGACTTCATGATTTGTTTATTTTAAAAAACTTTGTCCATCTTGTTTGTTTTGATGTCGTTTTCCTGTCTACTGAATACAACCGCTTGATATTAGTAGTGTCATGTACTGTTCTTTCATGCTAAAACTCTTCAGGGAGGGCTTTACGATTTACTCTTTCGATGGTTTGTTTTGTTAAATTACGGCAACGCAACACTTGGACGCAGGTCTTTTTAAGGGTAACTGGCCCTTATTCAGACGTTACAGACGTGGAGAAAACCCGGAAAACTCCACGTGGCCAACCCGTCCTGGCGAGGCGCGAACCCATTACCGAACTACCATGTTCAGGATATGGAACCGCTTGGCCACTGATGGGGTCGACTCTCGATGACCTCGCTAAATTTCGGCACTACATTAGGACCAGCGTCAGAATTTTCACTAGGGAGCTCTTCCTTAAACGAATTCGTACAGTTCAATTGTACAGTACTGTACATATCTCAGATATAACAAGTGCCATCATTGAATTTCCCGGAAGTACCCAAATATTAACTAAACGTTGAAAAAACGCGAAGTTTACAATATATGGTACTAGAAAAAAAACTCCTTTGTTTCACTGTACTTGGGGGTGTGAACCGCTAGTGTCATTGAATAAAACTCTAAAGCCTGATACTCACATGCGGCAACAAACGATGGAAGGGAGAAATGACGTCACTTTTGCCATCGAATCCGACGGAGTACGAAGTTGAAAATTTTCAACTTTTGCCGTCGCGGAAAGCGGAACGGAAAAAATTAACCAATAGGAAGGCCGTTTAGCAATGTCGTCATAAAGATCACGTGGGACGATAGCATTCGAACTATGGCGGTCGGCAAGCTAAAAAGCTTTATTTGTACACTAATACGCTAATATATTTCATTTATACGTTACATTACTATCCGATTTAAATATTAATGTCAAATAGACGTACTTACTGCGTAAAATATTGGGAATGGAGTACTGTAATCGTAATTCGGTGACGAAAGTATTCGATATTCCTAACTTTCGACGATTTAGAATATTTTTCCTATCCAAATTAATTCGTTTTTGCGGTATTTTTATTCGTGATAAGATCGAAGGCAAACTTAAAAAGTTTAATTGATATAACAAAGCAATCCCGATAGACGCCATTTTCGACTACTGGCACGTGGCCTTCCTACTGTAGTAGATTGTTTATATTTACGACTGGCAGATGGCGCGTTTCAATTGTAGGGTAATTTCGGCATGTGAGTACACGTGACACGGAAACACGACGGAACGGCAACCGTTTCCGCATGCGAGTACCAGATTTAAGTCGGCAAACCGTATTTTCTCCGATTTGATATTTTGAACACGGAGTACAGTAAAAAAAAAAAAAACTCAATTATCCGTCAATAGAGAGGTTGCGGCCGACGTTTTCATAGCGAAAACGTGTACGTCGGACGTTTAGCGCCGCCTTCCTGTAAGCCTAGAAGTTTGACAATGGCGTTTGGAACGTCAGTGGAATCATGCTCGACGTATCAAACGCCATTGTCAAACTTCTAGGCTTACAGGAAAGCGGCGCTGAACGTTCGACGTACACGTTTTTGCGATGAAAACGTCGGCCGCAATCTCTCTAATATCTGTTAACAGTCAGTGCGCTAAATTCAGTTCTGGCCTCCGTAGAAATGAAGTGTGTCTAGGCAATGTCTGGGGGCTTCGTACTGCAAATTTTGATTGTCATTAATTAAGAATGTTTTATGTTGAAATCCGGATAAATAATGAATTGATCTTTTACTTTTCCTCTGAAAATATGAAAGGATTTTATATTTTTCATAAATAAGGAAATGTTTGATGATTTCATAAATTTGCAAAATGTTTTATAACTAATGATCTAATTTATTGGTTTGAAGAATGATGCAAATAATCCTAGGGAACATTTTATTGTTTAACGTTCTGATAAATAACATAATTCTTAAATAATTAAAATGATTAAAAACAAATATTTAACAAATTAAAAATGTATAAATATAGTATATTTTGTAAATATTTCAATCTCTTAGGATTTATAAGCATATTGAAAATCAATTTGGAGAGGAAAAAAACAAAAAATTATATATATAAACCCCACTTTTATTGGAAAATAAAAGTTGTGAAAAGTACCAGTAATTAAGTGAAAATTGAGTATTCCCCTATAAAAAAGTACTTTTAAGCTCTTTAAACATTTCTTGTAAAATAACATTAAATTACAAGATGAAATGACAAAGAACTTAAAAGAAAATAGATGTGCTAAATTTCCATGATGTACTATCTTGCAAAGATAGACAACAGGAAAATAATTTGTGTGCAAATAACTACACAAGTGCTTCTCTACTAAGTGCAATCAGTCTTTTTAATATTGTGTTTATTTTCACTTATAAGAATTGTAAAGAAAGTAATGAGAATAGTCAATTCATACATTTAATTTACTGACAAAAGAAAATTATTAGTAAACTTATTCATAAATAAACTGAGAAATGCATTATTCTCTTTACAATTTAGATTTTATCTCCATTATCTAGCATGTTAGTACACTTGCCATCTAACAAACAATAAGAGAATCCATAAAACAGTATATAGGGGAAACCTATTGTAGTATAGTATTTAAATTCTGAATATTGCATATATTATTGCTTTTATTCATTACTTTCAATACAATTCTCACAGTTTTGGATGCAAAAATGCCATTTTCCTCCCAATCATGCAATCAATCCCTAGTGCAAGAAAAGAACACAAAAGAAAAATGTGCAACCAAAAGGTGTATATATGTTTATTCATGCTGCACAAATTAAACAATAAAGTTGGTGTAACTTGAAAAGTGGAGAACATCACAAATTCACAGGATATTTTTTTTTTCACAATGCTGCCATACATGACAGTCAATAATTATAAACACTATATATATATTCTTAATCTAATCACTAAGAACCAAAATCTTGCACAACACATCACATGGTATCCACCCGGAGACCAGTAGGTGTTAACAGGAAGCTGTTTCTATGCAAATCACAACTGTTGTACGAATCACAAACTTAAGAATTTCTCTCATTTTTTTTTTCTTTTTATGCAAAATTCTCAAAAACTGAGAAGTTGAAAAGAAATATATATGTAAATATATATATATATATATATATATATTGGTGCAATATTAAAATTACGACACGTTAATAAAAAGAATTCATTTTGTGCTGAAATGACTCGAGTGCAGCATTCAAAATATTTCAAAATTGGGAATGATTTAAATAATAATATAAAATAAATTTTTGATTAACAATATACTAACAAGCATAAATATAATCTGAATTCTTTTAGCTTTTTAAACGTCTTAATCTATAATCGTAAACACACAAAAGAAAAATTAATTACATCCATATTCTTTGCAAATTATATACAATTATTTCTTACAAAATAAAAAGGTAAGAAATTTACATTTCCTTCTGATTTCGAACAGAAAGCACAGTGTTAGCCACATTTTTATGGCTAGGCTGCAGAAACACTGACATATATATACATAATATGTAACATGTAGAACGTATCAAGAAGAAAGGCCTTGTAACTCCAAAAAATCGGATAACAAACGTTTTCCATAAGTACTACTGTAATATTTACGTGATGACGTAGTCCTCCATGTCTGTTTCTTCACTCGACACGACATTCAAGATTCACAACACCTAAATAATACAATGCATCCCGAAAGGTACACTTGGCCCTTAGTCTGATAATCGGAATCTGTAAAAATATCTGTTGTTATAAATGTAAAATTATCTAATAAACATATTATAATTTTTATTCAAAATTTAAAAATTAAATAGTTAAGATATAGATTCTTAGAATCTATGAGAATTCAATATTATGCTAACCATTTAGAGTATTTAACTATGGCCTTATTTATGAAAATTATAAAAACTTACATCCTGAGTGTTGCACACGTGTCCAAAACTTAAGGATGAATGTAACTGCTGGTAGTGACAGCTAGAAAAAGTCTTTGTGACAAGCCTGCCATGATATTTTGAGTGCTGCATAACAGTTAAAGCTGGTCATATTCCATATTGACAGGTCTCTCTGCCTGGATATTGTTAAAGTGGAGAATTGATGGAAAACATCCATTCTCCACCTATATCCAATTGCTGTATCTTTTTCACCGAAGACTTACTTTTATTGCTTTGATTTGTAGGATTTTACAAGTTGTTGTGTATTACCCTGCGTTAGATGTCAAGTAATATAGTTCTTGCTGTATTTGTCTACATTCGTCTATAGTTCTTGCTATTAATGTGTAAATGTCATCCATCCTTAAGTTTTGGACAAATGTATTTGAATAAGCTGTACATCTTTCATCTGTTATATTACGAGAAGAATATACAAAGCAGTTGATGAATTCTGTAACAAAACATCTAAGAAAAGATTCATCCATCTATCAAAATGCTTTCATATTTTCTTAATTAAAAATTACTTTAAAAATAATTTTCTTGCTTCTGAAGTAGTTTAAGAAAATAATTTTAAAAATGCTGACATTTAGTCCCATTTCTTGGTGACAAATAATGTATTAAACTTACCATTATGAGAAAGTAAAATAAATTTCTTATGATGGTATAACATAAGAAATTACTATTAATTTTCATTTGAAAAATCTTGCAAATTTGAGTTATTTTTTTCATTACAAGGACAATCTCAAATGATACATTAGATGCCAATTAGAACTGACAGCAGATAATATATAACTGTATTATAAAGAGTGTTTTCTGTCACACAAACAAATTTCATTAAATTATAAATTGTTCTACAGTTTCTTTTTTCGACTTACAATAATTTTTTTAAAATCTGGTTTGTAAAGAATAAAGATATACAAATAAAAAAAATTTTCCTTAATTTAAATAATGAGTAAATTCAATGTACATTTATAAGATATTCATTATAATAATCTTAAAAATTAAAACAGGATGAGATTGAACTATATTACTACTACTATTAATAATTAAATGCTAAGTAATTTGGTCTAGATTTACAGTAGATGTTTGGCTTTTTATATATTTATTAAGAGATGGCACCTAACTTAATAATTATTGGGTTTACAGTTGCTTATAATCATCAATAGCAATTGAACAAAAATAAAATTTTCCCACCTTTTCAGGCTTGAAAAAAAAAAATTTTTTTTATGTCCATCATAATGACAAGAGATCCATGACAAGACATGACTGGAAATTAATAAAGGTATTCAAATGGTGAGGGACAATGTCTGACATATCTGGGTCAAACAACCCATGATAATTAAAGTTATACTCCAGGAATGGGCATTAATATTAATTGTCGCATAAAATATTAATAAATATATCAATTTCACAGCTTAAAATTTTTCCTGCATACTTCCTTATCGTTATTTTCTACAACTTATGTATATAAACAGTTTTTCCTGAAATGAATTTAGTAAAAATTAAATTAATAAATTGGTTAACAGACTCACATCAGAACTGATTTACTACTAGCAATGACTAATATTCGACAAAATTTTTCCAATATATTACGTTCACATCAGTTCCAGAAGTTAAATTAAGTACAGTAATACCTAGACTTACGTGATTTTCAAATCTCATCAATTCGTCTTTTGTTTGAGCGCCATGCAACTTTTGATTACTCACTCCCCCCACACTATTGTTCAGCTTACATGTTCGGACGTGTAGCGCAGAATCGACACATAGCTACAATTTATTTTGTGTTATTTATTTCTGTTTTTGTTATACCTACGGAGACTTGAGAGACTATGTGGTGATTTCTTGTAACCGTGAACAAATCAAAAGACGAGATAAGATTAACAAGAACATTTATTAGCTTACATACATCCGACTTGGAGTTTACACAAATTGCAAAATTATACCATGACTTACGCAGTTATCGCTCTGTCCCACCTATGGCGTAAGTTCGGGGTATTACTGTACTGTACACCTATATGCATTTTTAATTATAAATGAATAAATAATTCTGATTTATTGGCAGTTTTAAAATGTGGCCCTTACATAAAGGTTGCCCATTTCTGTTCTAATCAATATTTGAACCTGGGTTATCTAGCAGGCTAATCCTCATATTACATTGTGCAGCCTGTTTTTTTGGTTCATTTTCAAAATATCAACCTTCAAAGATAAATTATAATTAGATTAATATTTTGTAAAGTATTCTTTTTTTTTGTTCAGTCTTAAAAAAAACAAGAATTTAAATGTTTAAAGTTGTGTGTTTTTCTTTCTCAATTAAAATTTCAAAACCTTATAATTGCTTTAAATTAAGCATTTTAAAAGATTCGAAAATCTTAAATGAATGCTTTAAAACCTCTACTAATTACTATGATTACTATGCATTTGGCAAAATAACTTGAGGAAATTTTTCATTTTTTCATTCATATAAATTCCAACTGGTATTAAATAAATTATTAAAATTAATTAATGAAGAGATTCGGTTTAATTTTATTTACATTCAGTGTTGCAATTCATGGAATCATGAAAAACTTGTCATAAAGCCAGATGATCTGTCAAATTAATTAATCAGTGGTTCATCCGTTGGATTTGTCACATTGTTTTATACATAAATTTGTTGTACTTTGCAGAATTGTAGAATATAAAGTAAATGCTACTAAGATTTGTATAAACAATTTCCAAAAATTAATCTACAAAACTGAGCATTTATTTGGTTATAAAGTTGGTCAGATTGTATCCAATAAATCCATCAAACTATTCCCTTGACCTTAATTTAATAACTAAGGTTCATGAAAACAACATCAAAACATTTTCTTCAAATATAATAGAACATAATCAGATTTATAAATTTCGTAGTAGATTCTTATTCAATAATTAACTAAAGATTTAAAAATAAAATCAAATCATATCAGATACCATTAACTCTCTTGAAATAAAACTTTACTATTGAAATAAATAGTTTTGTAAATATACTTTTTATAGAATTTTTAAAGTACACAAATTGTGATCTTTTATTAAGAAGTGCTAATTTAAACTGAACTGAATTAGTCTGCAAGAATCAAATCATCATCTATATTACATTGTCTTCAAGTTAAAAATTAAGCAATTTAAAGCCGTAAAAAAAGAAAAGTCGTTACATTGCTTCATCTTCAACTTGATGACAACACAATACAGAATATACTGCAGTGTATTTCTACAATACCAGACATCATCAAATTATTTGGACAAAAACATATTGCTATAATATGACTATTTTAAAAATTGAGTTTTTACATAAGCTAGGTCATCCATCTTACACAAACTCAAGCAAGATGGCACAATTAAGATTTGGATTTCCAAAATTCCAGCTATTATATTATCCAAATTTTAACAGGTAACTGCTTATTAAAATACCAATAATATAATAGCTGATTGAAATAATCAAACAACATTCTCCACATAAAAATTGTATTCCTCCTAGACCACTCGAAATTTATCTCGTTTAAATGTCTAGCTAAAGAAAGAAAAATAAGGAAAACCACATTCTTCTATTGCACTGTTACAACAACTTTAAAAAACTTCAAATGCAAAGCCCTTTTTAATCTAATTATTTTTAACACTTAGAAAATATGAAAACTTTATAATTTACCATTATAATTTTATTTAGCTTATCATTTTTAACTTATTTTTTTACTGTTTTTATATTATATACAGTTCTTATGCAGTCAGTCATCATATGCTATGCAGCATGTGATGGCTGCCTGCATAAAAACAATAGTAAGAACTGTTTTTACACATGTAAACACTACTTAGCAATGTTCACACACATAAAAACAATAGTAAGAACTGTTTTTACACATGTAAACACTACTTAGCAATGTTCACACACATAAAAACAATAGTAAGAAAATACACCACATATAGCATTACTTTGAAGATGTAAATAAATAAAATTACTGTTTTCGTGCATATAACCCATGAGTTATCTGTATTTGAAAGCAAGTGTGGGTTATGCAGTGGATAGGGAATATGACAAGTTTAAATTGCAATTATAAACTTGGTACAATGGGCAAGTTATGTGAAGGTTTTATTTTCATTCTATCAATTTTCTGTGGAGAGTATAACACCATCATAGGTTATATGCATGAAAATACAGTAAATACATTTGTTTTTAAATCTTAATAGAATTTTACATAAGCTATATGACAGATCAAATGTAGCATAACATTTATGTCAATTAAATAATAAAATAAGTTTGTTTTTACCTGATTTCAATAATTATTGGCCACAGTGCATATCAATGCTCTCTACCTACAGGTGTTGTTCCTCTGCTCCTAGAACCATTGGTCCCACCTCGACTTCCTACACGATGTACAGGAATTAAGGATTTTCTAGTGGTTGGGGGTGGTATAATTGGTTTTGACTTGAGAGTGGATGATGGTGATGATGAACTTATATTTTCAGGAGAATCGAGTTGATTCACATCTGAATTAGAAGATACATTGCTAATAGGACGAGTCTGAGAAGAAGCCGGACTAGGGAGTTTCTTGTGAGATGATGGTTGTGGACTTCCACGACGAGAATGATGTCCTATTTCATTTCTTTTACTCGAGAAAGGTCGAGGCATACGTGACTGAGCGGGACTCGGAGATTTTCCTTGTATCCTTCTCGAATCGGATGTTCTTCCTCGTAATGGCAACGGTGGACGACTAGCTGGTAATGCACTTGATACTTTAGTCAATGTCGCTCGATCGCTTGGTTCTGGTGTACTGGTCATCTGTTCCCATTTTTGGCGAAGCTTTTGAAACATCTGTCCTTCTGGTTCTGTCTTGCTATCACTTGTTTGAGATGGCATCGTAAAATTAGGTAAAGTATGCTCAATTTGTGAACTGCATCCACTATCTGTACTCGAATACATCAGTTCAGTTTCACCATCGACTTCAATAAATTCATTTTGCAGAGAAGTGATTTCTGCATCGACAGTTTTCTCTGCAGCATTCAAGATATCAGCTGGATTTGATTCTTCATTTTCTTTATTATCAAAATCCAATTCAGAAGATACTTTTAACTCATTGAATGGATAGACAGTAATTCCTGGAAACAATGATAAGATGTTATTTTCTTCTGAAGAAACTTTTGCTGTATTAGGAAGTTTATCTTGCCTCAATCTCAAAAATTCATCCATAGATATTTCTGGAGTTTTATCTGGTAAACCATCCTGTTTCAAACACTTATCAATATTCGAATTAATGTTACTCTTTGATTCTTGAAATTTTGGTTTAAGTTTTAGGGAATTTTGATAACATCTTTTTATTGGGGATGCAGGTAATGAGCTGGTTTGGAAATTCTGTTCTTTTGTAGATAACTGACTAACTTTAGATTTAAAATCTTTTGATACAAGACTAAGTTCCAGACTAAAAGGTAATGTTGACAAAGGCTTTACCATATTTTGGAATTCTTCTTTTAAATGAACAAAAGCCTGATGGGTAAGTAAACTTAACATTGCTATTGGGTGATAATGACATTTTATGATGCTTTCACAAGAACACAGATGACCAATCCACCAATCTAAACATCCCAGACTAAAAAAAAATTTTGAAAAATATATAAGCATATATAAATAATTTTATTTTAGTTAAACATTGTGTAAACAAATTAAGAAAACTTTAGCTATACAGAAAAAAACACTTGTGCTGCTAGGAAAGTAAGCAAACTGTAAGTATTTCTTTCTGTATAGCTGTAATTATTCCAGTTTGGATAAGTTTATAAACTCTATAAGAATATTATAAGACTAAATAAATAAATTTAAGAAAAAATATTCAAATTAAATTCTGCAACAATTAATATAAGCACTCTTCTAAAAACTTTAATAAACTAGCAAATTATTAATGCTGATAAATTTATTAAATTTAATAGAAAAGATTTTTACAAAAAAAAAAATTACTTGATTTTGTTTATCTTATATTGTTTTCAGAAGTTTCATAAAGTAATTTCAATCTTTATACATTAACTTCATTTCTCATAAACTAACAACAACAACATATTAGTAGCAAGAAGAACAAAGTAGATGAATAGACAATTATATAATTAAAATTCAAAAGGTATTATTCAAGAATATATTATGGCTTGTTTAGACATTCTATGTTAATTTTATTATTTACATAATACATATGCATTAGTTTTGCACTGATTATTTAAACAGTTCTACAAATAGCAGAATATCTAGACGTGTTTGAATTTATTATTTAAACATGCTTAATATTTGTTGCTTATACATGAGTTCTGTGTAAACAAAATTTATACAATTTCATGTAAATTCTGATACAATCAAATTTTTTACTTATTTATATGAATTGTAATCAGCAAAAAAGGGCTAAGTCAAGTTTTGGCCCAAATAGAATTACATAGGGCATCTTGATGTAGCCCAGGGCTGGCTAATTGTACAGACTTATCATACCTTTAGGTTAAGCGATGAAAAACAGAGTCAGAGATCAAGTTCATAAGTATATGCTTTATTAGTACAGGCATACCTCGACTTACGTCGTTTCGAGTTACGTCGTTCCCGATTATACGTCGCTTGTTTAAAAAGTATATGGAAAAATAAAAATCAAGTTTAAGTCATTTTATTCGACTTTACGTCTGTCCGCCACAAATATTGAAGTCGTAATATCACTAGATAAACGTTTAAAGCACATAAAATCATATTAAAATATATACAAGTATGTACTGTATTTACAGTACACGCATTCGTAAATTTAGATTATTTTTTTTGTACTATATTAAAAACTAAAATTTATTTGTTTGTAAGCTTAAAATAGATTTTTATTAACCATATATTATTTAAAATGCTTTCCTAGTGATAAGTAGATTCAGAGACAGGTAAATTCGACTTACGTCGTTTTCCTGGAACCAATTACCGACGTAAGGCGAGGTATACCTGTATTGGAATTTTGAACAAAGTATTATGCCAAACATTTTCATAGAAAATTTGGATACAAATTCAATTATCTATAAATGAATTGGTGTAGCACTTACAAAGCTCTGGAAATAGAAAAGAAGAATGTCATCATATCAGATAAAAAGCTAACTTTATTAACATGCAGCAGTAGTGATTTTCCCCATCTACTAGTTTTTTTTTTTTCAGGCATTCTTTTTATCAAATTAAATTACTATAAAAATAACCAATAAGAGAAATAAAACAATAAGAGAATAAAAATTATTTCATATTCGGGTGGCATATGCAAAATTTTATCAAGTGAAGTTGTGATATTTAATGTGACTAATACATTATTATATTCTACAGCCTATTTCTAATCAAAACTATTGAAACAATGAACAAGAGCCACCTTGAATTAAAGGATCACATTTATTTTTAAAAAAATTCATATTTAACATTGTTCACAATATGCATTTTGGCCAAATACTAAATCAGGTCCTCTTCAGTTATTAGGTAACTAATAATAGATGTTAATAATAAATATACCTAATATCTGAAGAAGACCTGACTTAGTATCCAGCTAAGATGCATATTGTGAACAATGTTAAATATGAATTTTTTAAAAAAATAAATGTGATCCTTTGATGAAGGTGTCCCTCTGTTCATTGTTTTGATAGTCTCAGTTAGAAAATGGCTTTAGATTATAATGATGAATTAGTCATATTGAACATCACAATTTCACTTGGTACAAATTAACTTAGTTGTGTTTCTATGATATCCTCATCCTACATGCTATCAATTGTACAAAACTTTTGGTAAAAAATTCCCTGCTTATCATGCACCATCAAAGAGCTTCTGTGGAAATTAATGCCTTATGCAAGCCAATAGTGCACCCTTTTTTTTATTGTCATACGACTGCATACATAAGGTGATTGATTTTCCCCACTCTTATGTCATCAAAACGATGTCATGGAGATCTCATGATTGCCATAAGAAATAGGCATGACATCATAAATGTTTTTCAACTATGCATGACATAATGGCATGGAAGTCTGCAAAATCGCAACCTCAAATGCACGTTTTTATTATATAGTCTAGATTCCTGACCTTCAACAATAAGCCCAAAAATACAGAAAAATCATTTGAGAAACATCTCGGCTATCTCATCATTATTTCAAGCTGAACTCATTTCACATTAACCCATGCTATTGTAAAAGTTTGAAGGGTTATGTAAGGGAGCCCAGTCAAGAACACAGTTCTGTAAACAAATCATCATCTAGTAAACTAAATAACATATGAGACAATGATATTTTGCACATGCAGAAAAGACACATTACAAGATTTTTTCAGAATCATCAAATTTCAGAAACAGCAATTACATACAGCATAATTACATATGAAAATTAGCAGAAAATTGCCTCTTTATAAACATGGTCGTGTTAAAGATTGCATGTACAGCACGTTAATGTGCCATAATAAAATGTCTAATGCTCTTCTATATTGGAAATTACAGCATGTTGATATTTTCTTTTCTTTTTTCAGGCTACTATGGACACTAAAATGAAGGTTCACAGTTATATGGCTACAAATTCTAGTGAAAAATTGACACAATTAAGTTTATTATCCATTCTAATTCCACAGTTGATTAGTAATGAATTATATGCCAAATCCTTCTTTGCCTGTCATTCCTGTCCAATGAACTTTCTATTTGCATCAATGTACAATGTTTGTGATGCCTGTCAACAAATCTTAGACTTCATACATACCACGAGGACATAGCTAAGAAAGAACCAATGAGGTTTGTTCTTCCCTTCATGATTTTATTGTCAGAGAGAGCCCATCTGGAATGGAGGAGCTGTACATGTTTGTGGGACAGAACCAGAACAATAGACAATTTATAGAATATATACCAAAACAGTTCCTTACTGTAATCTTCATTGAGTAGACAAAATTATTTTCCAAATAGGCATAGTAAGTATTGCTACCATATTTCTTACAGTTCACATCCACTTACAAATGTCATAACAGAGACCAGCAACATTTAAGTAATAAAAATCAAATATAATAATTTTTAATTTATTTTAATCTTTCTGTAAGAACCTGGGCTAGTGTAAATTTGATGATTTCAATCTTATCTTTTGGTTAAAAATAGAGGGGAGAAGTATTCCTTTTCACAAATGAAGTCAAGGAACATCATAAAATTTTCTATTGGATGATTCCTCTATGAGTGGCACAGCTTCCAAAAAACTACTCATCGAGGGAAATGGAGGGGAAAAAAATCACAAATTGGAGCAACTGTCAACTTTGCCAAAAATGGGCATTAGAGTGGCAGGAAGAGGACCTCGAATAAAAGGCAAGAGGACAGATGATGAGTTCACCTGCCTAAACTGCGTGTGTCCACTAATTCTATGTCCTTGTAAAATAATTTATAAACTTAAACAAATAAATTTTTGTTATTTAATGTTTAAATGCATAGTGGAGTGTGTTATTTTTGGTGCACTGTCTCTTGACTCCCTCCTCCATCCCAAACCTGATTGTTCTCATGCAGGCTCGCTCATATAAGACTTACATATGAATCTAACAGTCACATTTCTTTTAAATCTGGTTTCTACTGTGTTGCATTGCCTATTACATTCTGTTCTATTGGTAAGCTGTATTTTACATTTGAATCTTATTTGAGTCTACATATTTGCAACTGCTATTCTTTGTACAAAAGTAGTTATCTAAGCTGATGATATGTAAAGAGATCAAAAACATTTCTAGTAAAAAGTATTTGGCTCCCTAAACTAAACAATTTGATATTTAGTCTATATGAAGCTGCTAATGTTGTCTGAATTAGTTGGTGACAATTTATATAGTTGCAAATGGCAGCTTTAAAAAGTTCACAGTAGATAACGACGACCCATTTGGGACAATTCAAATCTACCAAGATAAAGGATCAGTGCTAAAAGTTTGGCATTATCAAGAAAGCCATTAAGATTCATGATAAAATTTGCACAACAATTCTTAATGTTGAAATTCAGATAAACTGCAGCAGCAGCTAAAAAGGAAAAGCAAATTTCATATTAAATGTACAGAAGAACAAAGAGAATTAGTTAACAAACAAACAGAATAGAACAAATCATTTAAATACTTGTTGCCTTTAATGCCAATGCTAATTTCATTTCTCCCTTGTTAATAAATTCATATATTAAAAAGGTTAAATTGTCAGACTACACCAGAAGAATTTTAATCTAGTAAAGTAAAAAAAAAAAAACCTCTTATTAAATCAGAAAGATTGGGAGATATTAACAAGTGCACAGAAATAATTATGTAGAATTGTAAATAAAATGTTACTGAAATGTTTGAATAGACATTGTTATATTATATATACAGTACTTTATTTGTCACTATCAAATATTATATTTATAAAGTTTAATATTTGGTTATGTATACAGAATTAATATTTTGACTATGCTGTATGCTGCTTATTGATGTAAACATTTCTTTTTCATTAATAGAGTAGAGCATCGATTATCTGAATGACGAAAGTTTTCCAGTCAGTAAATTTAAATTTCCTCTAGTGATGTGGCGCTGCAATCTTTGGCTATGTCTTAGGCTACTCCAATATTATTTTTGTTGGTGTGCATGTTTTAGCTGGAAGCA